GTTTACCCTTTACCCTTACCCTTTATCCTTACTCTTTACCCTTACCTTTAAATCTTTACACTTTGTGTTCACCTTTACCTTTTACCCTTACCCTTTATCCTTACCCTTACCCTTGACCCTCTACCCTTATCCTTACCCTCTACCCTTACCCTCTACCTTACCCTTTACCCTTACCCTTTATCCTTACCCTTATCTTTACCCTTTACACTTTACCCTTCACCCTTTACCCTCTACCCTTACCCTTTACCCTTACCTTTTATCCTTACCTTTGTCCTTACCCTTTATCCTTACCCTTTACGACGGACTGAGTCTTCACCACGTTTACATGGGCTCATGTCTTTGTGACCCACTCACGTTATCGTTACCCTTTGCCTTCTTGAGATGAGCAGGATGCAAGGCATATTTAGTGCTGATCTGATCTTCACCACTCGTGTAAGGTTCTGAGAATCTTCTGGGGTATCTTCAGCAGCTCAGCCTATATTTTTTTCCTTTTCGTGGGGACAGGGGGACTATCTCCAGCCATTAGTTATGCTTGACTTGCAACAGAGAGAGAAAGAGAGAGGGAGAGCAAAGGTGATCGGCAAACGAGCCTGCACATGAGAATAGATCGCAAGGATACACTCGTAGGAAATCATCCACTGCGCATGCATGTATAACTAGCAATCTACCTTCTTGTTTGAGTCATTCTTTACATAGCTTAACAAACGGAACGGTCGACTACTGTATTTTGCGGAGTTATCGTTATGCCTCATGCATCTTATGAGAATGTTGCAGATGCTACTTTTCCCCCCAAAACATAACGCCCCATTGCCAGGAACATATTTAAACCCGGTTCTGGTCCAAATACAGTCACAATGCTAGGACATTGTGTTCAGGAGAATAAGGTAGTACGCCTAGCTTTCCAACCCAGGCGCACGGGGTACCCCACGGCGCCCGGAAGGACGCTCGGGGCGCTCGGCCGGCGACCCCTCCGGTCGGCCTCCCGGACCTCCCCAGCGCCAAGGCCAAACGGGCCTAAAAAAAAAAACAATGCACCTCCGTTGGTTGGCCCGGATGCTAAACGAAACATTTGCAGTCGGTAGGTTTTTTTTCGGGGCCGGTAAGGCCACGTTTCACTCTTTTTTTTTTTTTTTGCAACCTGGGCCGTAGATCGTCCCAGATTGACGGTGCAGGGCAGCTCCAGGTTTCAAATTTGAAACCTGGCCACCCCGCTCACGCCCGTGGTCCGCACTGCCGGTCGCGCCCTTCCCGCCCCGCGAGATCACATGTGGCAGTTGTCATCCGCTGCAGCCGCCATCTTCACCTCTGCTGTGTAACCTCCTCCGCATGCCGTCATCACATCTGCTGCGCCATTGAGACCTCCGCCATTGAAGTCCGTTGTGCCACGCACGAACGGCGCGAAGGTGAGCTTTTTTTTCTTTTTCTTCTCTTATTCTTCTTTAGTCTTTCTTCTTCTTATTATTCTCCTTTCTTTTCGTCTTTTTTTTCTTTTTCTTCTCTTATTCTTCTTTAGTCTTTCTTCTTATTATTATTCTCCTTTCTTTTCGTCTTCATTTCTAGTAAGTTTCTAGTTCTTAATAGTCCCTGCTTCTCTTCTCAAGTTCCTATTCTTTTTCTTTGTTTCATATTGTTGTTCCTTGTTCTCTCCTCCTTGTTCTTCGGCGTTGGCATCTACAGTGTAAACTTCTCTTTTCCTGGGTGCTCTTTGTAGCCTGCTGCTAGTCGCTTAGCACACTTACTCTCTGCACTCATTCGCCTCCTCCCTCCTTGCATCTCCATCACTTCCCTCCTCCCTGTCTCTCGATCGTTTCTCTCCTTCCCCCCTGTCCATCGCCTCCCTCCCTCCTCGGGCATACCTTGCCTCATCCTTCCTCCCTCCCTCTCCATTGCCTCCTTCCTCCATACTCCGCCATACCCTACCTCCTCCCTCCTGCTTCCATCTCCATTGCCTCCCTCATCCCTCCGTCTCCATCGCCTTCCTCCTCCCTCCATCTTCCCTCCTCCCTCCTCCCCCCCCCCCCCCCCCCCCCCCCCCCCCCCCCCCCCCCCCCCCCTCAACACCCAGAATCCGACATGCAGCAAAAAAAAGA